AGATAGATAGATAGATATATGAGAGATAGATAGATAGATATATGAGAGATAGATAGATAGATAGATAGATAGATAGATAGATAGATAGATAGATAGATATATGAGAGATAGATAGATAGATATATGAGAGATAGATAGATAGATAGATAGATAGATAGATAGATAGATGAGAGATAGATAGATAGATAGATAGATAGATAGATAGATAGATATATGAGAAATAGATAGATAGATAGATAGATAGATAGATGAGAGATAGATAGATAGATAGATAGATAGATAGATAGATAGATAGATAGATAGATATATGAGAGATAGATAGATAGATATATGAGAGATAGATAGATAGATATATGAGAGATAGATAGATAGATAGATAGATATGCAGGGTGTGGGGAAGGGGCTGTGATGGGTATAGTGTATCACTCACTCATGGTGGGTCTCTGCTCCTCGCCCGGCTCCTCCGCTATCTCTGGATGAAACTTCCATCTGGGCTGATTAGGGGCAGACGTGCCGGAGGAGGAAGGATGACGCACGGATAACGAGCTGCGGAGGTTCCAGGAAACACTGACATCCAGCCGTCACTTCATTCCGTTCCCTATTACTGATCATTTCTTCTAAAAACACAATTATACCGGAAACAATTATATTGTGTAACAGAGAAGCTTTCAGACTGCATTCGATGGTGAAGAGAACGGACTAATAAAGATAACGAAGAGTCCACAGGAAGAAGGAGAGTTCTATGAAGGAAAGTTGTATGAAGGAAGGTTCTATGAAGGAGGGTTCTATGAAGGAAGGTTCTATGAAGGAGGATTCCATAAAGGAGGGTTCTATGAAGGAAGGTTCTGTGAAGGAAGGTTCCATTAATGAGGGTTCTATGAACAAGGGTTCTATGGATGAGGGTTCTATGAAGGAAGGTTCTATAAATGAGGATTCTATTAATGAGGGTTCTATGAACGAGGGTTCTATGGATGAGGGATCTATGAAGGAGGGTTCTATGAAGGAGGGTTTCATGAAGGAAGGTTCCAAGAACAAGGATTCTATGGATGAGGGTTCTATGAAGGAGGGTTCTATGAAGGAGGGTTCTATGAAGGAGGGTTCTATGAAGGAAGGTTCTATGGAGGAGAGTTCTATGAACAAGGGTTCTATGAATGAAGATTCTATTAATGACGGTTCTATGAACGAGGGTTCTATGGATGAGAGTTCTATGAAGGAGGGTTCTATGAAGGAGGGTTTCATGAAGCAAGGTTCTATGAACAAGGATTCTATGGATGAGGGTTCTATGAAGGAGGGTTCTATGAAGGAGGGTTCTATGAAGGAAGGTTCTATGGAGGAGAGTTCTATGAACAAGGGTTCTATGGATGAGAGTTTTATGAACAAGGGTTCTATGAATGAAGGTTCTATGGATGAGGGTTCTATGGATGAGAGTTTTATGAACGAGGGTTCTATGGATGAGGGTTCTATGGATGAGGATTCTATGAACGAGGGTCCTATGGATGAGGGTTCTATGGATGAGGGTTCTATGAATGAAGGTTCTATGAATGAAGGTTCTATGAATGAAGGTTCTATGGATGAGGGTTCTATGAACAAGGGTTCTATGGATGAAGGTTCTATGAAAAGGGTTCTATGAATAAGGGTTCTCTGAACAAGGGTTCTATGGTTCTGGACTATCAATACTACTGTTTGGAACTTGTTAGCACGTTGGTCCAGTACAATGTTCTGCATTAGAATGGAAGCTAATAGTTTGATAAGAAACAGAGATGAAGATAAAGTTCTGAGATATTTTAAATCTTCTCCAGGAAACATTTATGATATAAAGCAGCTCTGATGGTAATACTCAGCTCCTCCCCCGCGCTGTAACCTGCAGTACCTCTTCTCCCCCGCAGGATGCCCTCAGTCTTCTGGATTGAACATTGTCCAGAGTCACTCAGTTCAGAAGACTGAGGACATAATGTAAGTGCAGAGCATCATGGACCTGTCAGCTGAGGTCACCATCGAGCACTGCACTCACAGTGTATTAATGAAGCTCTTTGCATCACTGACAACCCCCCAGCACTGGGAGAAGATCCAGCGAAGAGGAGAAATCTGCCAGTCACATGACCAGCTTGAAGACTACTTGGAAAGGTAAGTATACATACATTGGACGTTCTCTGGTCACATGATGTGTAAAAAGACGATATACCTTCCAAGCCAAGTGCCTGTTATGAGGTCTAGCAATACAAATTTGGGGAAACATGGAGGAAGCAGGGAGGGTCTATCTAGGACTATACCAAGTGACACTAAACAGGAGGGGAGAACAGTGGAAGATACCAAGTTGTAGTAGCGCCAATCTACCACTAGATGTCCGGAATATACCATAATAACATGCAAGGAATACACAGAAATAACAGAAAACAACAGTAGCTGTGGCAGCACATGGAGAAAGGATGCCCCGCCTATGGAGGAGAGTGCTAGATGGAGAAGTCATGCTGGGAGATTCCTCTACAAGAAGGAAAGAATTTGTTATATTGTATCAAGTGTGTAATGCCCCTTTGCTGGCAAATAAAGAACGTGTTGGATTCTGAGAAGAATAAGATTGGTGTAATCGGACCCGGATGGGTTTTCTTTATTATGTGCCGGGACGGTGAAGAGGCAGAGGAAGGGTGTGGACTCTGTGTGCGCAGCGAGGGCTCAGATACCCGGTGTCCGCTCTCTCCTAAGAATAGGTATAGTGAGTGCCGAAGATTACACTCATTGGGGTTGATTGACTGAGGCAGTGACGTAACAATCACCATAGCGACCCAGGCGGCCGCTATGTGGCCCGGGGCACAGTGGGGCCCGGCCAGATGCCGTGCGGGCCGCCTGGGTCGCTATGGGATCCTCTGCTGGCGGCTTTCACTGGCGGCTCTGAAGACGAACATGCCGCTGTTCAGATCACTGATAGTAATCTGTGCAGCAGCGCGTTCCTCTCCACAGAGTCAATGAGAGTCTGCAGCGGCGGTGGAGGAGGAGGCGGGGCCGGTGGTCAGCAGCAGGGGAGTAGGCGGGGCCAGGTGACGGAGAAGGAGGCGGGCCAGTCGACGGAGAAGGAGGTGGGGCCCATCAGCGACCTTGGAGAAAGAGGAGGCGGACAGGTAAGGAGTGCGACCAGCCCACCTGAGGGTGACCCTGCAGAGCCCACCATAGAGAGTCTATGGTGGGGTCTGCAAGTTCACCCTCAGGTGGGCTCTCGAGTGGGCTCTGCAAAGGGTATAACTAGAAATCACGGGGCCCCATACAAAATTTTGCTATGGGGCCCTGTGATTTCTAGTTACGCCCCCGGACTGAGGGCAATAAGGCTGTTCACCTTGCAAGGGAATTTCCCCTTACTTTGGTGAATGAGGTGAAGCTCTGCAGACTTCCATTATCCAATCATGTCAAAGCAAATATACTGTTTTGTTTTTGTTTGTTTTTTCTTTGTACGTGATTGGGTGTTCTCTGCATTGTAAATTTTCACCACACCAAAATAAGATAATATTTCAACTGCAAAGTTTGGATTTATATCTTGCTCCCTAACAAGCACAATTAGGCTTTTCGTAGTGCACCCGAGAGGGCAGCTCAGTCACGAGGAGACACCAAATTAGCCACCCATGTTGACGCCGGTCAGAGCGAACATTTGTTCTAAGCGTCTCCATTGCGGCACCTTTGCTTTGGCTGAAGTCTGTCAATCCCCGGAGGGAATAATTTGTGTATTCCCAGATCAATATTCCATTATTTCCTTCCAATTAGGAAAGCGTAAAAAATATTTTTAAATAAGTTTATAATAATCACCTCTCACCCCACCCCAGGATTGAGACCGACAGCCGCCCGTCCATAAATAGAGGCGGATGGAGATGGTTCAGAGCAGTGCGAAGGGACTTCGGTTGTTGGAAACCAACCACAAATGTTGTATAAATAGGTGAGTGAATCTTTTCACCGGTTTGAGGTCAATGTGTTGGTAAATGATAAGGCCAATCTTACTTTTAAACGTTCAAATTAATTTACAAAAATATAAAGCGGAATATTTAAAAAAAATTACAGAGCAGAACCTAAAATTTGCTAATTTTTATGAAATTTAAAAGTAAGTATATGCAAAGGAAATTTTTGTTTTTAGTTTTGGGTAGAGTGGGAATAAATATGGTGAATGTCGCTCCAATCTACATAATCAGTTAGTCACAACCAGGGGTGGATTGCATTTGCATAATTGGAATCTAGGAGGTGTTAATAACCTGCCCAGAGAGAAGTGTTAAAACAGCATTGTATGTGGCAGACAATAGATGTCTCACCCCCCTCCCCCCCACCTCTACTCAAGCTCGGCTTCTCCATTTTTACATAAATGGCCTCTTTCACACCTCTTTTGAACCAGTCCTCCTCCCTGTCAGGGATGCGTACTTGACTGTCTTCAGAGCAGTGACCTTTTTCCTTTAGATGTAGGTACGCTGCTGAATCCTGACCAGAGGGTTTGGCTCTTCTATGCTGTGCCATACGCTGGTGTAGCTGCTGTTTTGTTTCACCGACATACAATTCTGAGCGCTCCTCGCTGCATCGGACTGCGTACACAATGTTGTTCATCTTGTGTTTTGGCGTTGGGTCTTTTGGGTGAACCCATTGTTGCCTTAGTGTATTGCTGGCTTCAATGCAGACAAGGGATGTGATGTTTTTGAAAAACCATTCTGAGTTTCTCAGACACCCCGGCTACATAAGGGATTATTATTATATTATTATACAGGATTCATATCGCGCCAACAGTTTGCGCAGCGCTTTACAATATAAGTAGGGCTGGTAATGATTAGAATTTTCGTGTTCGATTAATCGAATTTTTTTTTTATCAATTAATTTTGATTAATTATAACGCACATACAGATCCAACTACATTGGCCTATATACATACAGCACAGCAATGACGTAATAAAATGAACTAGGATCACACTAATCTCACGTGCCCCACTCAATATGGCCGCCGCTTGAGTGGGGCAACTCAGAATAACCACGTGCTGGATTAGTGTGATCCTAGTTCATTGTATTACGTCATCGCTGTGCTGTATGTGTATAGGCCAATGACTTGGCTGGCGCTCGTGCAGAAAGTTTCTTGGGCAAACTCACCGGCCCAAGTGGCTCCGTCAGCTAACAAAGGGGGGAGGAGTCCGGTGACGTCACGGACATCGACGCCACCTGACTCCTCCCCCTTCCATTCGTTAACCGACGGAGCCACTTGGGGAGGAGTCCGGTGACGTCGATGTCGGTGACGGACTCCCGGAAGCAGGCGGAGAGGTGGGTGTTTTCATTAGCGATCAACATAATTTTAATCAATCAAAAAGTTTAACGATTAATCGAGACATTAATCTTTCATTTTCACAGCCCTAAATATAAGGAAGACATTACAATTACAATACAATTCAAGACAAGATGGTAAGGAGGGCCCTGCCCATGAGGGCTTACACTCTAAAAGGGAGGGGCCAGTGGTACATGAGGAGGGAGCTGTGTGGGGATGAATTGTTTGAGAACGTGATAGTTTAGTGGTTAGGTTGAGGTGGGATCGGCTTCCTGGAAGAGATGAGTCTTAAAGGATCGCCTAAAGGCAGTCAGAGTGGGAGATAGACTGACAGGTTGGGGTAGAGAGTTCCATAGGATGGTAGAGGCTGTAGGGAAGTCCTGGAGGTGAGCATAGGAGGAGTTGACGAGGGAGCTGGAAAGCAGAAGGTCAGTGAAGAGCGGAGGGGACGGTTAGTGTGATACTTTGAGACAAGGTTTGAGATATAGCCTAGACCAAATTCTTCTGTTTGTCATGCTTTTCACTCTCACTGGTACTCTTGGCATTCTTGGCATTCTTTCTTCTCCTTTTTTCTGTTTTGACAAAAGCCCCCCCCCCCCTGAGGTGTTTGAATTCCTTCGTCTTGGCCTCTGTTCTGGTGGGAATTTTCTCTGCCCGGTGCTGTGGAGTCCTGATGACTCCCAGTTTTTGGTCTAGAGCAGTGCTTCTTAAAGTGTGGATCGTGACCCCATACGGCAGTGGTGCCACAATTTTTTGTGATAAGATCTACTTTTCAAATGACGAGCTACATGAGATCTACCAACGAAAAAAAACCCTCCCTCGATCTTTCTCTCCTGGCTCTCTCTCTCCTCTCTCACCTGGCTGTCTTTACACGCTCTCTCTCCTTGCACTCTGCCCTGGCTGTCTCTCCTTGCTCTCTCTCCTGGCTGTCTCTCCCCACTCTCTCTCCTGGCTCCCCTTTGCGTTATTTTGCAAACAGTGCAGTGCAACTGGCTGTGTAAACAAATATTCTTTGATGTAATACATAGCACTACAACCCCCAGAATCCACCAGAAAGGTGTCAGGGAGCTGGGCTCAGCAGTCTCAGGCTAATAGGTAATCATGTGTGCACAGCGAGATAAATATACCAACATGGAATAAAGGGACCGCCATTCCCCCCTTCCTGATCTACCAGCATCAGCTTTGAGAGCTACTGCTAGATCACCATCTACCTAATGGGCACCCCTGCCATATGGGGTCCCGCAAGTGAACAGGGGGGTCGCGATATGAATCCCAGCAAGATTTTTTTATTTTCGTTTAATGTGTAGTGTAGTTGTTAAGGTCACGGGCCCCCCCCTGTGCACTTGGTATCTTCCTGAGCACATGGTTTTTTCCCCCCCATTGACGGAGCTTTCTTTAACCCAGCAGAAGAGGAGCACAGCTGCTGGAGGTAAAGGTAAGGAGG